TTGCCCTTGTTAGGTAACGGTTTGTCCCTATGTGGGACTTCCTAGCGCAAACCTGTATCCAGCTCCAATGCAGTTGCCGTACACCGGATGGGTAAAAAGGAGAAGATTATTGATTGATTTGGTGGTAAAGTTTGGCAAGTAGTATAGCATAATCACATGGGGTTTGAGTTTGGCCTTTTGTCTTTAATTGCTTTTGGTCTGCTACTGTTAACCAGGACTAGCCTTCTGATGCAATAGGAATAAAGATGGGATGCCTCAATACTAGACGGTATTTGCTTTAGTTAATGTTTCTATTTACATAATTGAAACTAGCCATGTGGGGATACTGAAAATCTATGTTGCTCGGACTCTTCAAAAATGTCGATGAGGCATTTTTGGAGGATCCGACATGGGTAAGTCCTACATAGTCTTTTCAAGCTAAAACTATAGAATATTGGAGTTTCTGGTCAAGGTATGTTGGTTCATTAACAATCTTTGTCACATAAGCTATTCTTGATTTTCAAATGTAGGGAACTTAAATTATTTAACAATCTTTATCATCTTATTCTTGAAAAAGCTTTTAAAGGAATCTAATTTACTCATGATGGTCCTAAAGTGACAGAAGATTAGAGCAAAGGACTTGTTGTACCAGATGAATAGAATTATGTGTTCCCTCTGATTTTTGGGCCAAGCAAAAGAAAGAAATTCACACTTTTTAGGCAAGAGATGCCCTACTGTCCCATTGTGCTCTACAGTTTTTTTGCTTGTCTTTTTGACCTCACTTAGTATTCATATCTTGCAACTGTTTTGGTAGGTAGATAGTGAAATATAACCTCTTGTTTTTTTCTGATTCAAATGGTAAAGAATCAACTTCTTGTTGAATTGCACCTGTCATTCATGTAACAGGAGACAGCTGCTTCATATGTTAAATTTTCTCATTTTAGAAATATGAACAATTATGTATTACTATTCCTACCATCAAAGTCTATTGTGTCAACTTCATACTCCTTGTCCTCTCTGCCCATGTTTTTGTTCTTTTGTCTAGTTAAAAGTTGCCCCTTTATCTTTCTATAACAATTCTCCCTCCGTTTCAATTTGTTTGTCTGGTTTTGATTTGGCACGAAGTTTAAGAAAAGTATAGAAGACTTTTGAATCTTGTGGTCTTAGTTCTTAAACATGTCATGTGGCCGAAAACGGGAAGAGGCAAATAAGCGAAAATGTGCAAGTGCTCCATTTTATAGTAGTTTGAGTAAATGTTTTGATGGGCATGAATCTTCTTGCTACAGGTAACAGAGGGCCTGGAAGAACTCCTTTAGACTGGACAACAAGGTTAAAGATTGCAGCCGGAGCAGCTCGAGGTCTAGCCTTCATCCACAACTCATGCAAGTCCTTGAAACTCACTCATGGCAACATCAAATCAACTAACATCCTCATTGACAAGAGTGGCAATGCACGTGTCTCCGACTTTGGTCTAGCCATCTTCGCCACACCATCTTCCGTCCCAAAAACCAATGGCTACCGAGCCCCTGAAGTCGCATTGGATGGTCGTAAAATAACTCAAAAGTCCGACATCTACTCATTCGGGGTCCTATTACTCGAGCTGCTAACCGGTAAATGCCCCTCAGTCGTGGACAATGGTAGTGGCCTCACAACCGGCTACGGAGGGGTCGTGGACTTACCGAGATGGGTGCAATCCGTGGTGAGGGAAGAATGGACTGCGGAAGTGTTCGATTTGGAGTTGATGAGGTATAAGGACATTGAGGAGGAAATGGTGGGGCTATTGCAGATAGCTATGGCATGTACTTCAACATCACCAGATCAAAGGCCTAAAATAAATTATGTTGTGAAAATGATTGAAGAGTTGAGAGGTGTTGAAGTTTCACCTTCTCATGACACTGCTACTGATTCTGTTTCTGACTCTCCTGCTGTTTCTGAAGATAATACATGTGGTGCAGCTAGTCAGTAGTAAGAGTTTTTTTTTCTTCTTATTTTTCTAGTTTGTTATTCTGAGTTATGTAAATTAACCTCTTAGTTTTAATCCTTTTATCTATAAGATATAAGAGAAAATTTAGGAGAAGTTTTATAAGGTTAACATAACAAGTTGCAACATATTATGAATGAGTAAAAAATGGTTGAATTAACCCTAATTAATGATTGAATTGCATAACCTTTGGTGCAAACATCAAGAGTCTACTCAAAGCATGTGATGTAAATTTCCTTGCAAACAAATGACAAATACTTGTCTTCTTACCATTATACTCACAACTACTCTCACTCCTCAACTTCTTCAAGAATTCTTTAGTTATATCTTGTCTATTAAATCGGGCCGGGTGGGCCCCACCCTTCGACCAGTCAACCCAAGTCAAGGTCCGGCCCGAATTCCTATTCTTGAATTTCATGTTCACGAACGTTGGTAGGTAGTGTTCATCGGCGTAGCACGAGCCCTTGCAATATTTTTGAAAAATTGAGAAATACGTCTTGTCTGAGACGACCTCTAAGGCGAGATCTCTGTCCATTTCGAACCATTGAGACCCTTTCCTCCATTGTGAAAGTTTGATCATCGGGCTCATTTGTGGGCGGTACCTACCCCGGCCCAATGGGCCGGGCTGGTCATACGTCTCGACGAAATTTTCGTTGGAGTTCATTAGGTGAGTGTAGATAGTAGAGAAATTGAACAAGGGAATGCATGCCTCAGAGAGAAGAACAAATCTTTGGTTAGAGCTATCAAGAAGAGCATTTGCTAGTAATCTTTTTTCAGCCTCAACCATATTTACTTTTCCCCAATCAACTTCTTTACTTGGAATTCTTCTTCCATGAAAAATAAAACTTTCATCAATATTTGATTTATTATTATAAGAAGGATGGGAATGTACATAAATTGAATAAAATCCTTCATGTCCTTTAAAAAATAGCTCCCAAAGTGGTGATAACAAAACTGGCCCTTTTGTTAAAAACATGAAAGCCACTTTTGGTTGTATTTTAAAAGGTAACTCTTTAACTTTTGGCACCATTGAACTTCTCCATAATAACTCTTCATCACTCATATCATGTTCAACATTAATTGGCTTAATATACTCATTCAACCCTAATCGAGGAATTATCGATCGCGGTGATGATGGTGATGGTGATAATGGTTGTGAATTAAAAGAAGAATAGTTTAAAATTTGGCCATTTATAACTTGTAAGTTGACACTAAAGTCATTGAAATAAGAAGTGAAAATAATACCACAACTTATACCACAAGCAAAAAAGAAGAAAAAAGAAAGGAGATATATCATATTTAATGGGGTAGTGAATAAATTTCTGAAATTTTGTTTTTTGTTCTTCATGATTATATTATGTTAAGAGAGAAAATATAATTTGAATGAAGGGAAAAAATTCGATCGTCTTAATATATAGAGGTTTAGTTAATCATAATCCGTATCAAATTAGGATTATATTAATATTATTACCTAGAAACTATAGTAATCATAATCCGTACCAAATTAGGATTTATTACTAATCTATTTATAGAAAAAAACAATTATTAAATAAAGTCAATAAAAATAAAACAAGAAAATTCAAAATATATATTAGATATTTATCATTGTTAATTTTCTTGTTTATATCTATCACGTTTTGCTTCTCAAGAATTAATTTAACTAATTTTTAAAGCTTATTAAATTAGATTAATTTAATAAGTTTTAGATTTTCAATTTAGATATTTGGAAAATACTACAAGTTACAATGTCTCTTCGTTTAATATGATAAAAAAAATACATTTTAAAATGTTTATCAAAGTCTATAGTTTAACTCGTGACAAGTAAATAACTTACCCTACACCTTTGGGCCAAACCAATGAATATAAGATGGGATAATTGTGCAAACTGACAAACTTATAATCTAAAATAAATGGAGTAGCTACTGTTTGATTTAATTGCGCTCCGTAGCAAACGTTTGTCAGTCACCTCTCTCCCTCCAAATTCTCGCTCGCCACTCTCCCTTTCTCGTTCTCTTCCTCTGTGCTCGCCTCTCTCGCTTTATACAACAGAATTGTATAAATTGCGTTTCTGTTTGTATAAAGCGAGAGAAAATTGTATATACACATGCAAATACGTACACTTATAATTATACAATAAAAATATTCCCCTGCCCAGTTTTATGCTTGTATAATGTATAATTTATGTTTGTATAAAGCGAAAGAAAATTGTATATACACATGCAAATACATATATATTTGTCCTATACACTTATAATTATACAATAAAAATATTCCCCTGCCCAGTTTTATGTTTGTATAATGTATAATTTATGTTTGTATAAAGCGAAAGAGAGAGCGATTTTTGATATACAAATATTTTTGTCAACGATTTATACAAACGAGAGGCTAACAACAATTTATACAAATGGCCTGCCAGCGAAATTATACAAATCTGAAAAGGAGCCAACAAATTATACAATTGTTTCTTTTCGTATATATGTATAGCGAAATAGACATAGCTTTCAATTGTATATGTATAGCGAATTATACATATATATGTTTGCTATGGAGCGCAATTATACAAACTTTGCTATAGTATACAAATATGATTTTTTTGTTTGCTATATGTGAAAGTTGCTCTTATAAGATACTTGTCTTTCTTTTAGATAAAAGACCTTCAAATTCTAACTACAAAATTCTCTTTCTATATTTTGTAATTTTGCGCTTTCTTTATTGTATTTATGTATCATGAATAATACAAACTATACAAGAGCGAATAAATACAACTGATACAAATCTATGAAGAGAGAAAGGTGGAAATACACAGTATAACCTAAATACACGTATACACGTATAAGTACAATAAATACAATCGTGTAACACTTCTCATCATTTTCTCTATTACACAAAGGAAGAAAAATCCTTTATATATAAGCGTAGGATTTATACACAAACACTAACATTATGAATAAGCAAAAAAATGGTCTTTTATTTAAAATAAAAACTGAAATTCTTACATATCTCACATTTACTTTTTTACAAGGGGAAAAATAAGGAAAAATCAAAATCAAAGAATGAATTAATAAATGAACCCATTGATCATGTGATCAAGTTAAGGTTTGTACAAAGAATTGAATTTTTTTTTCCATGTACATCAATTTGTGTTAATTAATCCTAATTAATGGTTAAATTGCATAACCTTTGGTGCAAAAATCAATAGTCTACTCAAAGCATGTGGTGTAAATTTCCTTGCAAACAAGTGACAAACACTTGTCTTTTCACCATTGTACTCACAACTACTCTCACTTCTCAGCTTTTTCAAAAACTCCACACTTATATCTGACCTATAATAACGGGTTGGGTGGGGCCCGCCCTTCGACCAGTCAACCCAAGTCAAAGTCCGACCCGTATTCCTCTTTTCGAACTTCATACTTACAAAAGTCGGTAAAAAATGTTCATCAGCATAGCACGAGCCCTTACAGTGTTTCTTAAAAACCGAGAAATACGTCTGGTCAGAAACAACCTCTAAGGCGAGATCTCTGTCCATTTCGAACCATTGAGACCCTTTTCTCCATTGCGGAAGTTTGATAGTCGGGCTCATTTGTGGGTGGTACCGACCCCGGCCCACTGGGCCGGGCTGGTCATATGTCTCCACGAAATTTTTCGTGGAGTTCATTAGGTGAGTGTAGATAGTAGAGAAATTGAACAAGGGAATGCATGCCTCAGAGAGAAGAACAAATCTTTGATTAGAGATATCAAGAAGAGCATTTGCAAGTAGTCTTTTTTCAGCCTCAACCATATTTATTTTGCCCCATTCAACTTCCTGCATTTCATCAATTAACCAAAAGTTTAATTTATTTTTAATGGTATTAGTCTATTAATTATAAATGTATACTTCAAGCAATTGATGTAATAATTATTAAACCAATTAAAAATCATGAGCAAGAAATACTTCTCTTTTTTTGTTTTGGTAGTTAGAAGCATTTATAAGTTGTTTCTACCAGAAAAAGTTTGGGGGTAGGTCCATTTTCATTTCATATATAACTAAAATATAAATGGTGGTAGGTCCATTTTTGTCTTAACCCCAAAGTTAAATTTTTCTATTCAAATTCAGATTAGTCGGATCTTAAAATAAATAGCAGATATATAGTACTGGTAAATTATATGATAAAGGAGTAAGTACTTTATTTTTAAATAGAGGTTTTGTATTTGATTTCTATGAATGAATTAAGATGAATTAGGTAGGAAACATATAATTTTCAGAGTGAAATCTCTTGACACAATTCAAATTAGTTAGATCTCAAAACGAATACCAAATACTTGGTGGGATACCAAAAAAAAAATCTAACAACGGGCATGAGTAGTTTGCTTCTCATTAAAGCACACATGGGCTTATAGTTCCCATTTAATATGATACACTACTATATATATATCCAAGCATATGGCCATAAAATCAATGATTTGTGAGATAAAATGTATGACATAAATGGAAAAAAATATTGAAGAGTAATAAAAAAAAGAGCAAATTAGGTTTCTTAAATAGTTTAATGGAACATATGTTGTTTCAAAAAAAATAAAAATTAGAACAGTATTCAAAAGTTTTATAATCTATAATTTAAGCTCTATATATTGACTAAATAAAAAATATTTATATAACTAGATCACTTCTAAAATAATTACACTAAATATTGATTGATAACCTAATTAAACTACATAATAAATAATCTGAAATAACAGGTTAAATTGCTCTAATATTATATATATCCTTTAATTCTTAACAAAATTATATCGTCAACCCTATACATGAAAATATTGGAGAAAGAGTAAAGCACATGAATTAGCATCGAATAATTTCACCATCTTAAAGTTAAACTATTCTAACTTCAAACTCGAAATCTCTTGATTATAATAGGATTTGATTGTTTGCTAATAAATACAAACCACTAGGTTTCTAACAAATCCACCTACTTCATTGTAATCTTTTTAAAAATTATTTATCATTTATTATTCATTTATTTTCCTTTCTTTATTAACTACTTGTTTTTTTTGGAATAGTAAAAAACATCATGATTCTAGAATCTAGACTTATTCTTGAATTTTCATAAAGAAAAGAATATAGCCTTGTAGACTACTTCAATACTCCATTCTTTTCTTTACAATTAAATATCCTTCAATTAATTAATTATTTTCTTTTTATATAAATATATTCCATTTAAGTTTTGTGAGAGTCCTACAAAAACTTTGCTATTAATGACAAAATGGTCCCAATCTTTTGCCTCAGCAAATGACTCATCAATTCCAATGTACCATAGTAAAGTGACAAATATTATAATACAATTATTCATATTATTATTTTTATAATCGTGGTGTTTGAAGGATTAATTTGTGAATACTTCGACTGATTATTTTACAATTTCACATAGTACATGCTATTTCTAACCCTATCAACAGAGATAAAATATTACACTATTCATCAAAACTTGAACAGATGGAAAGAAATCATCAAAAACTTTTGTCTTCTTAATAAATTGTGTTTCATAGGTTTAAGAATATTCGTCTAAACGGTCTTTTATCTCTCTAATTAAGTGTTTTTTGCTTTATTAATGTGCACAAAAATTTTAGAGGATTAGTGAGGCATGGTTCGAACCTATCTCCTCTGTCTTAAGTACTTCTTACTTATAGAGTAGTAGTTATCCTAATCAGAGACTTTTTTTACGTGAATTCAATTTGAGTCAACCCTAGTGCAAACTGAAAATCCTCGTATGTAGATAATCGGTCTATTACTCTATTCTTCTCCATTTAAATACCAAATATTTGTCTGACTCAACGAATTGAAACAAATAAGAAAGAAACTAAAATACTAGAGAGAAAAAAAAAGTTAAATAATATGAAACTAACCTTGCTAGGAATTCTCCTTCCATGAAAAATAGAACTTTCATCAATATGTGATTGATTATAAGAAGGATCAGAATGTATATAAATTGAATAAAATCCTTCATTTCCTTTAAAAAATAGCTCCCAAAGTGGTGATAACAAAATTGGCCCTCTTGTTAAAAACATGAAAGCCACTTTTGGTACTCTTTTAAATGGAAATTCTTTAACTTTTGGCACCATTGAACTTCTCCAAAATAACTCTTCATCACTCATATCATGTTCAACATTAATTGGCTTAATATACTCATTCAACCCTAATCGAGGAATTATCGATCGCGGTGATGGTGGTGGTGATAATGGATGTGAATTTAAAGAAGAATAGTTTAAAATTTGGCCATTGATGACTTGTAAGTTAACACTAAAGTTTTTGAAATAAAAAGTGAAAATAATACCACATGTTATACCACAAGCAAATAAGAAAAAAGAAGAAAGGAGATTTATAATATTTATTGGAGTGTTGAATGATTTAATAGCCATTGCTATGGAGTTTTGATTTTGGTTCTTCATGTTTTAAGAAGAGAGAAGAAAAAGAGGAAATAATTTGAATGGAGGAAAATAAATCCTATATAGAGAGAGGTATATAGTAAATCATACGTACCAAACTAGCTAGGGGATCTATTATTAATATATTTATAAATAGAATTATTAAATAATGTCAATTTTAAAATAACAATAAAACAAAGAAAATTCATATTTTGGCTATTACAACTTGGAATATAAGTCAACATAGGCACATTTTAAAAAGAATGATTGAAGGCGGCGTTTTAACGAACACTATATGATATAATTATTACCATATTATATTCCCTCTGTCTCAATTTATATGATGTAAAACTGACTTGTCATAGAGGTTACAAAAGAAAGAAAAACTTTTGAAATTCGTGGTTTAAAATAAGTTATAGATATTTATATGGTTATAAATCATTTTATTAATGATAAAATGAGTATATTAAAGTTAAGTTGTTACTAAATATAAAAACGTATCATTCTTTTTTAAACTGATTAAAAAGAAAAGTGAGTCATATAAATTAAGTCAGAGAATATGATAAGTATTATAACTTTCCATATAAAGATTATTATAAATATTATACTTATTTTCACTATGAGAATTACCAATTTCAATGGACGATGTCCAATCAGAATCTAACTCATCGCTAAAAGATTTTCGATAGAAAATTCATTAAAAAAGTTATCAACGAGCCAATTTTCAACAAATTCTATTACGTATTGTGTTTTGAGTTTAACCTCTATACATTGATTGCGTATAGAATCATGAGGTGGAGCTATTATTTTTTACTATAATTTCGACAAAACCCAATAATTTTGATTTGAATTTTATATTATATTAAAATTTGACTTAATATATAAAAATTAATTTATCGAATAATGAAGTAAGTTGTTTTTTTTTAAGAGAATTCAGAATTTGTAAATGGAAAGAATCTTGATTTTGTCTCTCAAGTATAAAATATTTACAGATCAAGTCATATAAAAATAATGTTATTTAATAAATATATATTAATTACATAAGATAATTATTTTAGACAAATAAATTACAATAATTGTGTATAGATTCATTTAATATTTTTCATATATGTAAACCTAAAATCAACACGTATTATAGCAGCCAAACTGACTCTAGATCGTTCAAATGCGGTGGATTTTTATTTTAGAAAATATTATTGAAAAAGTCAATAGTTTTTATTTCCTTTTCAAGATTAGAAGGAAAAGGAAAGGAAATTGCATGTGCAAAAAGAAAAAGAGGAAAGTGAAATTAACAATTTTAGGGAATTTGAGACCCATTACTTCTACAGAAGTTTCTAAAAAAAATTTCCTGTTTACTTTTATTTATTTATTTTAAATTTAATAAAAAAAAATAATATAAATATTTTATCTTAGTATTCATTTTAATTGATGTGTAATAATAATCTTACGTCTTGGGAAATTAATATTAATGTTGGAAATATAAAAAAAAATAAAAATTCTTCTTAATAGATTAAAAATGACTAGCAAAAGTCAACGGGAAAAATAGTAATGATTCCCTATATGTGCCTTTTATAATGGATATTAAATGAATGGGACAATTTTGGCCAATAGAAATTGAAAAAATGTGCTTATTTAATTATCTTTAGTTATTTGAGAAGGTATAAAGGAGAACTCGTACTTGATATTTCAAAATTATTATCCTTGTTATCAGATATATTTTTTGTTAAAATATAATTTTTCTTTTAACTTTGTATGAAAATCAGTTAAATCTGAGGCAAAAATTCCTGAGCTTAAAGTAGAATGGCTAATGTTATGCAAAACTAAGAGAACTTCACTCATATATATGTTTGAAGTCCAGACATAAATACTTGAATTTCAAAAATTATAAATTTGAAATTATTTTGAAAAAGATAGACATAATTTTTTTTATAAACTTGAGATATAACTTAAATAACGATATCAAAATCATGTGTTTGTGCACTTCCCTTAATAATAAAATTATCTCTATATAACCTATTATTAGTCATGAATAATCATGAAATTAATCACTAATACTGTAATTAAAAAAATATTTTACATTACAATAATGATTCTTTTCTAAATATTATATAAATACGAAATGTTTTATAAATCAGAGTATCTTTTTTTTCTTTAATAGCGTGGGTAAAGTGGTAAACAGAAAAGTGCCTTTTTTCCAATTTTGCCCCTTTAATTAATCAAGTACTTCTCACCCCAAAAAAAAAATAAAAAAATTTAGGGTCATAGATAAGACTATATATCTCGAAATAAAATTTAAGATTTTATATTTAACTTAAAATATTAGTTAATTTTGGAATTATTTTATCCCATTATTTATTAAAATAATTAAATTATCTTCTCATATAAAAAATAAAATAATATAAAATATTTTTATATATCTTATCTCGCATATCAAACGAACCGTTAGTAGCTCATCAAATCATGGATTACACTTTTTTATCCACTAAAACTTTATCCATAGTGGATGTAGCACATACCTTGTCTTAATCCAACAATAAAATTTCAATTTTTAGGTTCAAACAAATAGTATAAACCCCAAACAAAAAAGTAAAACAAAATAAAAATAAAAACAAATAAATAAATAAAGTGAGTTTGACATATTTCAAAGCATATTCAAATTACAAATTTGTATAGTTTCAAAAGATATCTACCTTCCTCTAATTGTTTTTCTTACTTGTCTTTTTTAGTTGGCAACTAGTTTTCATTTATTAAAAAAATTGAACCTTTTATAATTATTTTAATGTATAAAAACAACAACAAAAGAATAACCAAAAGTCATAATTATGAATATAGTTAGTTGATCAAAGGGGGCCTCAAGTTTTGGGTCCAATTTTCTGTTGGAATTAGCTGCCATTGAAGAAGACTTGTCAAAAAAGTTCCCCAAAACACAAGGCCATCACCATTGACCTCTACATATACATTACTTTTCATCGACGTTTATATCTAACTCAATGAATACACAATATACGTGTGATGTGTCTTTAAAGAAATGGACGCAATATGCTAATATTGTAAGGTCATCAAATTCATCTGAACTCACATTATAAGAAACATAAATTATCGACTAGATACAATTTACGTTATTGAACATCAAAAAATCTATCGCTAACCTTATTTAACGATAAAATAGCGACATCAGGGTACAATCTTTTTAATTTCTTTTCCAATTGAAATGATGCAGTTCCAAATTATATACATTATTTACTAAAAGTCAATTTTTTTAGAGGTGCCAAAGTAGTATATATATACAAGAAATTAATTAATCAATTTTTTTTAAAAAAAAATAGTAATAAAAATACTCACAGATTTGCGCACGTAATTCAGTCAATTAAACATATAAGTATATAACGATATATAAAGTATATAACGTTATAAGTATATTAGAATTTCATATTCGATCCTGGTTAAATTTTGTTTGGTTGCTTTTAGTTTATGAATTCTAGAATTTTTTGTAAGCTTATGTCCTTCTCCTTTTTTCTTTCCTTTTATTTTGATAAGTTAGAGAGTAAGGATGTGCCCTCAGCCCCTCACACCTAGTTTTGTAATGCGGAGGTCAAGTTTCACGCCCCTCCATGCTCCTTTGACTTATCTTTGAAGCCCTTTTGAGGGAACCTTTGGAAAAAAAAAAGTTGGTATACAATAATACTAATTAGATTAATAGTCAAATATTTAAATTAGATTTCTTATTACATATACAAATAATTGGACAAAAGTCATTGAGTTCATATCTGAGTTAAGTCGCTCATGCTCTGGCAAAGACGAGTTTAAAATTTTAAATATATGAATTTAAAATTAATTAATTTAGGAATTTTCCAACGACACATCCGTAGTAAATTACCGATTTTCGAACGAATTTTATATGAGAAATCTTTCAGTAATTTCTTATCAAATTATCAAAAACGTAATGATAACGTCCTTTAGAAATTAACGATTTTTTTTTATAGTGATGAAACCCTTCTAAGAAAGATTTTTTTTTTTTTAGCAAGACCTTACTTTAGCCTTCCACAAGTTTAATTTAAAGTTACATTTTTAATATATTTAATATAAGTCATACGCCTAAAATAATTCTTAGAATAAACTTAATATGGAAAGTTGTAATACTAACTATAAATACTTCTCTATTTTGACTTGTATTCCAAGTTGTAATAACCAAAATATAAATTTTCTTGTTTTCTTGTTATTTTTATTGACTAGTTCCATAATTTTTCCTTTTTTTTTTTATATATATATAAATACATTAATAGATTCCTAGTTTGATACGGATTATAATTTACTATATTCTATATAATTAATGGATTCCTAATTTGATATGGATTATGATTAAATACATCTATGGCTCTATATATACATAACACAATTTCTTCTCTTCATTCAAATTATTTCTTCTTAATTTCTTACTTAACATAATGACGGCTATCAAATTACGTCCATTAAATATTTTAAATCTCCTTTCTTATTTTTTCTTCTTTGCTTGTGGTATTATTTTCACTTTTTATTTTTCACACTTTAGTGTCAACTTACAAATCATAAATGGCCAAATTTTAAACTTTTCTTCTTTTAATTTACAACCATTATCACCACCACCATCATCACCATCACCGCGATCGATAATTCCCCGATTAGGGTTGAATGAGTATATTAAACCAATTAATGTTGAACATGGTATGAATGATGAAGAGTTGTTATGGAGAAGTTCAATGGTGCCAAAAATTAAAGAGTTACCATTTAAAATACAACCAAAAGTGGCTTTCATGTTTTTAACAAAAGGGCCACTTTGGGAGCTATTTTTTAAAGGACATGAAGGATTTTATTCAATTTATGTACATTCTCATCCTTCTTATAATAAATCAAAAGTTGATGAAAGTTTTATTTTTCATGGAAGAAGAATTCCAAGTAAAGAAGTTGAATGGGGTAAAGTAAATATGGTTGAGGCTGAAAAAAGATTACTAGCAAATGCTCTTCTTGATATTTCTAACCAAAGATTTGTTCTTCTCTCTGAAGCATGCATTCCCTTGTTCAATTTCTCTACTATCTACACTCACCTAATGAACTCCACGAAAAATTTCGTGGAGTCATATGACCAGCCCGGCCCATCGGGCCGAGGTAGGTACCTCCCGCGAATGAGCCCGACTATCAAACTTCCACAATGGAGGAAAGGGTCTCAATGGTTTCAAATGGATAGGGATCTCGCCCTCGAGGTTGTTTCAGACAAGACGTATTTCTCGATTTTTCAAAAATACTGCAAGGAATGGTGTTGCGCTGACGAACACTACCTTCCGACTTTCGTGAGCATGAGATTTAGTAGGAGGAATTCGGGTCGGACCTTGACTTGGGTTGACTGGTCGAAGGGTGGGGCCCACCCGGCCCGATTTAATAGATAAGATATAACTAAAGAGTTCTTGAAGAAGTTGAGGAATGAGAGTAGTTGTGAGTATAATGGTAAGAAGACAAGTATTTGTCATTTGTTTGCAAGGAAATTTACACCACATGCTTTGAGTAGACTCTTGATGTTTGCACCAAAGGTTATGCAATTCAACCAATAATTAGGATTAATTTTTTGTTAATTTTTATTTTTTTTCTACTATTTTTTCCCTTAATAGAAAAGCAAATGTAATGTAAGAATTTCAAATTTTTTTATATATAAAAGACCAATTTTTCAACCTAATCCGATATTCCGGAAACTCGTTATGATGTCAATGCATATAACATAAACTCTTTCACGAAATCATGCGAACTATGTTCCTCCTTGCTAGGGGGTGGGGTGTGGGTTGGGGGGGGGGGGGGGGGAGAAAAAAAAAGGGGGAGGGAATTTTTTTTCCCCAAGGATATCAACCAAAACCAAGCAATTTTGGTGCAATCCTAAGTAAAGGTTGCAAAGTACTAGGATGAAATTTCCTCCCAAAAAGAAAACATATTGAACTCATCTTTCCATTATAACTACAATTCAACTCACTCCCAACACTCTTCAAAAACTCCTCTGTCACATCTTTCTTCAAAAATGTCATCGGGTGTGAGCCACCAGCTGACCAATCAGCCCACGTAACACTCCGATTCGAAGTTAATCCTGGACAAACTTTATTCACCAATGTAGGCAAGTAATGTTCATCCATGTAACATGGTGGCACACAATAGTTCTTAAAAACAGGGTAATACATCACATCAGAGACTATTTTTACTGCAAGTTTGCGATGTACTTCGAACCATTGTGAGCCTTTTCTCCAATCGGAAAGTGTTATGTTCGGGTACATACGTTTGTTGTACCTACCACGACCTATTTTCCTCGGATCGTCAAATGATCCGAGGAAACTTTGGTCGGAATTTGTGAGGTAAGTGTAGATTGTAGTGAAATTGAAGAAAGGAATGCATGATTCAGAGAGTAATATGAATCTTTCATTGGAAATGTCTAAAAGTGCATTTGCTAAAAGTCTTCTCTCTGCATCAATCATGGTTGATCTTCCCCATTGCACTGCCTTTGGAAAACAAAAAACGATACACACGATTCAGAAAGATTTAACTTATATATACTGACAGATTAGTAGTTATTCCTTGCATTTCTAATAACTATAGATCGAAGCTATTCAATTTTTATCGTACTATAGACCAATAACGTCGAGGAGGGTATCATAGAAAGATGTATCGGGTGGTGGGATGGTTGGGTTTCCTACCCTGTCAATCAGTTGTATCGGGTTCGAGCCCTACAAATGGAGAAATTCTTGGTAGGAAATGCCTACTTGGCGCGAAACTAGACTAGTTGGGCTAGTGGACTTCAGATACCAGATGGATTATAAGAAAAAGCCTAGAGTCTATCAGAAACAACTTTTCTATACCTCCCAAGATAGGGGTAATGACTAATGTCTGCTTATACACTACCCTCTCCAGACCCTACTTGTGAAATTACATTCGGTATGTTATTATTGCTTAATCATAACGAAATGCCAAAAAAAAGCACTTGAACCTGGCTAGGTATCCTTCTTTTATAAAACACAGATGATGGAGGAGGTTCATAGTTGAAATCTGGTGAAGTATGAATGTATATTGAGAACAACCCTTCATGTCCTTTAAAGAACATCTCCCAAAGAGGTGCCAATGGCAATCTACCCCTTGTTAAGAACAAGAATGCCACTCTCGGGATTCGATTAAACGGGTTCTTCTCTATTTGAGGTACCATTGAAGCTCTCCACATAAGTTCTTCATCGTTCATCGAGTGCCAAACATCATTCAACTCCTCCATGGTCCTATTGGAACTAGAATGAGACGAAGAAGAGTTACAAACAAGATGTGTAGAGATGGAGAGATTGTAAATTGGTGATTGATGAGGCAAGTAGAAATCTTCATAGATAACAATCTTCCTGAATTGATAATTGATGAACAAGCCTAATAGTAGTACAAAAAATGAGACAGATAAAGTAAGAACGATGGTGGTACCAAGATGGAAACTCATTTCTCTAAAAAAAAATGGTCATTCACAAATCATATGTATAAAGTGATAGTAAAAGGTCTCAATTTATGATATGTATAAAGTGAGTGAAAATGAGGAATAAATGCAAAGGAGCATGGGAAGTGTTAGCATGGGGCAAGAAGAAAATGTGAAATGAAAAGAGGCAAGGTGTGGTTTTTGTTTTTATTGCAGTTAAAGTAAAAAGCTGCAATTATGAGCCTTGAAGAAAGTTTTTTTTTCTGTCATGTTCTCTATAGTATCTGTTTTGATATGTTTTTTTCTTGAGCTGAGGGTCTATCAGAAACAACCTCTCTACCTCCCAAGGTAGGGGTAAGGTCAGCGTAGACTCTACACTGGCCAGACCCCACTAGTGGAATTACACTGAGTATGTTGTTGTTGTACACTATCTAATCATGTTTATTATGAACGCATACATGTTAATGCATGTTAAGGCTGATGGTGTATTTATTTGTATACACCTACAATGCACAAAACTTACACTTCACGACCCTGCCCCAGGGCAGAGCTAGAGAGGCGGAAGGAGTTCATCCGAACCCCCTTTAGCCAAAAATGACATTGTATATACTGGTATATAGTAGATGATGAATCCCTAATTGTAGCAATCCACATCCATTGGCTCAATAATTGGCACTTCAAGTGAAAGATGCACTCATCAATGAAATAACAGGCACTGCTAAACAAAAGATGGTTTCTATTATAACTGTCTCAGAAGTTGTGTGATCAATTAACACTAATCTTGTCTTACACTTCTAATTGATCCAATCGCTTTCTTTAATCACGAAGAAATATCAGAAATGCAGAACAATTATGGCGAATTATGTGCACAAGACTATCAATGAGTCTTTTCTACTAAAAACAGCAAATGTAAACATCTTCACGCTTCTCCTAGAGCTTCTGGTACAATGAGAGAGAAGATGACCTGGAACCAGCCGGTAATTAACTTCCTTGACGAATTCTGCCTTCCTGAGCAAGAATTGTATGCATCATCTAGAGAGAAGTTTGTTTTTTTCTGGAGAATGATACAGCCAAGCAACCAATGGCCACAGCTCCAGTACCGACTAGTAAAGCCACTCTGACAGTGTGATGCTTTATTGAGAATGCACTACTTGAGTATTCCAATACCCACCTAAAAAGGAAACGCAGCCCACAACTTGCCTGAAAATTTTGGATTGAAAAATCCTGCAAATCGATGAAGGAAATGACTTCTTAGGCCCTTCGAAAATATAAAAACCAAGTGCACAAACAAATAGGTAGTCGTGCATAATTGAGATTGTGATCTACATTCGAGACTGTATCTGATGAAATGTATGTAGGCAGTACCAACTAGCTATTACAAGGAAATTAAGTAGTCATCCAACCTAATGGAAGAAAGGTAACTGCAGGTCTTAGGGGTCACCTTTCTGAAAGTTCCCTTATATTTTATGCACCATGCCAGCAAACTCAGCACAACTGCGATTGAAATTTTCTAAAGAGAAGTCCTGCACATGACACAGAAAAGTTTGGGATACTAATCAATTAAGTTACTAAAGGCATATTGATATATGGCCCAATGATTGCACCTACATCTACACTCAAGCTAGACATGGAGCAAATCAGCACTCAAAGGTGTTGGCAAGCATGAAATCTCTCGTCAATTATTTTCTATGGGGCCCAAATGGCCGAATCTAATTTTATGGATCACCAAAAGTTTCCACATGATCGGAAAGCAATTATATGAACTTCATGGTTAAGTCATTCAAGAAACATAAGCATGCATATCAGTTAATGTGAAAACTGGTACAAAAAAAATTTGAACTACTACACTCAATGGACCATAATTCTATGAAACCGACAGTTTTGACAGTAAACAGAGGCTCATTCAAAGCTGCTAAGACAACCAAGAGTCATAGATTTCCGAAGAGGAGCGCCAGTTTTAGTAAGCTTATTATTGATCCTTAAATTTGACATCCGAAACAGGAGTGATCATGAATATAAGCTCTGACATATAATGAATTGATGTTGAATCACAAGGGAACAAAGAAGACATACACTTGGTAATTTATTCTGGACTGCTAGATGATCCACGTGGAGTCTCACATTTAATGAGGCATAAAACCAGAGGCTTCGGTCAACATCGGCATAAGTGTAAGCAACTATGTCATACAATGTTTTGGCACCATTCTCTATGGCCATTAAGATGGTTGATTCTCTGTGTCTCCGGTTTCTGACAATCCCAGATAATAATAATAAATTAGATGTGCATCAATTGAATCTATCAGTGTATTTGTTTTATACATTTTTTGAGAATGATAATTTGATTCACATCTGTCTTAGACAACGTCAATAAACATAAAACTAACTGAACAAATTTCACAGCTTATGACATATATTAGCATAATGTTCAATAAAACAAGACTACAAGATTTACATGGTGGGAGAAAGCAACAAGGAAACATGCAGGTTTTCTGCATAATTGTTAACCATATACTTCGGCAATGATTTTGCCAATAGCTGATAGACAGAAAAGGCACTCTGAGTGAAAGCATATATGGAATATGTCATAAGAGGTGTGAGTTACATACTTGAGATACCCACAGAGCATGTGTTTTGGCCACATATTAGTTCTTCCATGCATTGGAATCAAAGCATGAGGAGAGAGCTCAATGAATTTGTATGTTGTCTGAAAGTAATCCTGTATAAAAACTTGAAGTTTCAATACTGAGAATTTCGAAAAGAAGAGAAAAACCAAGTTATAGTTGAACATGATAATAGAAACAGATATGACCACCTACTACTTGCTCTAATCCTAATCTTTTTTTCTGTATATTCACAAGGGTATTATTGAAAAGAGCAAAAATCATGATCGGAAAATAAAAATAGAACTAGAAAAACTAGAAAGTAATTTAAGTTACAGAATTCACAAATGCACTTTTGTTGAAACACCAACCCCCACTTGCTTTAATCCATATCTCATTCAGTATTGTCACAAGGTATTATAAAATGAGCATTGTCATAAAAGATATATAAATCTACCAAAGGTAGATATTAATAATTTAGATTTACAGAATTCAGCTACGCACTCTTGTTGAACCCCTATCCCTTGCAGCAAGAAATTCATTCACTTTTTAAGCAAGTTTTTAGTGGTTATAGAGTAGATGTTTTCAAATTTTAATAGTGGAACCTGAATGTAGATTAAAGCATCTGTGGAAGACAATATTAGGAACATAATAGTTTCACCCTCTAAGTACCCATAACAAACACAATACTAGATTTAGATTGCCATTCAATTGACTCAAACTGTTAAAAACTTTCATAGCTGATCTTTTTGATTTGAAACAACAATCTAGAATTGGATATAAATTTGAATATGAAAAATGTGGTGGTGTAGTCTTAATTCTCACTGCTTTGAGTAGAGGTGCTAGTTCACATTAAGTTTCAAAAGCTAAAGAGAGAAGGAAAAGGCTATTCAAGAAAGTCAATAGAATGCATGAGAAAGGCTTGCCCATTGACATGAAAACAAGTAAATGAGTTTTATATGGGAAAAGAAAAGTATGGTGGGTTTTCTGGTTGAACAGTCGGATCCTTTTTTTTTAATCAGGTTTCAAAAGTTAAGACACCAACGACCAATCCTCATCTTCTAATTAGCATTCCAAGTATGACAGAGTGACAAAAAGAAGCATAGAGATGCTGATGTTAACTTACCTGCATATTTCCACCAGACACGCTATCTAAGAGAGCACTTCCTTGGCTGAAACCAAGGGATACATCAAATTAGTAATTTATAAGAAAGGAGAAGAAATGATAGAAGCTATGACAAACAAATGCAAAGTAGGTCAACACAATCACACACAGTGGCGGAGCCAAGATTTTCAATAAGGGGGTTCAAAATCTGAAAAAATAGACACACGAAGTAGCCGAAGGAGGTTCGACATCTACTATATATACCTAAAAAATTATTTTAACCATGTATAAATCATATAATTTTCCACCGAAGGGGGTTCGGATGAACCCACTAATTGTAAGGTGGCTCCGCCACTGATCACAGACTTCTTGAACAGATTGTTTTCCGTATCATCATAGAAAAGCTAAAAAAAATTGTTCAAAAGGACTAGGAAACTACATTTTTTTTATTATATTTTTTGGGGGGAAGCTACATTTAAAATTGGTAAGCATGTCCACAAATTATTTATCAACTGAAAATGCTCATTTGTTAAAGGATATGAAGTTTCTTGATCAAACATACCTTACCCCACACAATGATCCCCTACGATCAACGAGTTTGTACTAACATGAAGCAGTGCCATATGTCCATCTGTATGACCCTGAATCACAATATTGTCACCAAAAGAACGTGTTAAAATTCCAGAAAAAATTATACAAGACAATTGGAATGTTTTACATGGAAGGTTGAGTAAACACGGATATAAAACTAAGAGATTACTTGCATTTCAAAGAAAATTCCATTTCAGAAACTAGGAGATAACTTTTAACTTGATTCATTTCTTACAACTTCTAGTATTAAGTTCAATCACAACTTCACCATGCTCTAGTAAAGATGTTTTAACGGTAGCACAACAGTCAATCTCATTACTTAAAAAACAATCAATGTCATAAAATTCTATTAACATGACTTTATAGATATGACAAGCTTTCTTCCCAGTGAGAATCTCGGATGGTTCTTTTCTCAAGCAAAAGTCCTACAGATTCTAAATCTAAGCATAGATTACTCGTAATACCATGAATCCCTTTAATAAAGAAGCAAGTACCAGAAGAGAATCAACAATAATGAATGTATAAAACAGAATTTCATGGGGGTGTTGATTCTCATCAGAGGAAGCTAGGATATAAATGGAGATTACCGGTGCTAAGATAATTCTTAATTTCTGATTGCCAATGCAAATTTCCTCAGATCCAGAAACTGAAACATATGGGAGAGACCAATCATCTGCATCACATGGAAATTACTTTTAAGTTATTAAATGCATTTACTTGATAAAGAATATTTCACTTTCACAAATACTGTGAGATTAATAAGATGTAAATGGAGCATGAACATGTGTATATTTTAAGCTCACTTGAATGTACACTAATAGAGTCATCAACTAGAAACTATTCCTGTTAGTCAAAATGAGAAGTTATTAAATACATTCTTGCATGAAAAGCAATTGCCTTTTAACAACAGGGGACAAACATAAAAGTCATCCTTCATTATAATAGTTCGCCCTCTTCTTTTCATGACCAAAAAAGGGTATAGACCCACAACCCTTGCTAGCTATTTAAACAATAACATTACGCCTCACTCTCAAACAGGTTATGGTTGGCTATACGAATCCTCATTGATCATGTTACTCCATTTAAATTCATCTTAGGCCAATATCATTTATAAAATAAAAATAATGATTATATAACAATAAGTACTAGAAGTTCTTTATGTTTTCTACTGACAAATAAATCTTCTAAAAAGCTAGATAAAACTTCTAGAAAAGCCTAGGACGTAAAGTAAAAGCGTAGCTCTCTAAACAAAAAGGTGATTTAGTTATGGCAAGATAGACACTTACTATTCTACAGAATTGAAAATTTGCTGACCTTTTCTAATTCGACGAATCGTATTTTCATGAGCCAAAAGACGAGCATCAGGACTGTACTTCTGGACTACTGAAAGACCTGAAGCACATGGAGCACAAGTTTATGTTTCAGAAATTACTTACAAAACCTCCAGATTAGTCTAGTGAAAAAAGTATGGAGAATAATACTTTAGATAACAAAATTAAAGAAACTATTCATCATGTTATAGATGTTTTCCCAGCTTCTATTGAAATAGACATCCAATAAATCCATGTTGCAGTTAGTCAACCAACTGTTGCTGACGAGCCAGCTAAATGTCTAGAAAGAAATTTTTTCATAACTGCAAAAAGAGCACTAATTTTTTCCAATACATAAAGGGCCAGATACAGAGAAAATGGAACTTGTAATAACTTTACGTGGAAAGTAGGTCTTGTCCAGACGGCTCAAGAAAGATCATTTAAATAAAAGAAAAATACACAAAGATAACCCTTGATGAGTATGATGACATCAGTGTGAGAAAAATCAAATGTTGTGCATAGCATAAGGCTGTGACACTAAGCAGAGGAAAGTTTCCAGGCCTGGATGTGAAAGCTGCTTACCATCAACATGATCATTATGATGATGTGTCACAAAGACGACTAGTTTTCTCGGCAAAGCAGCAATGATTTCCTTGAGCTGGTAATCCAAGCATCAGAGCATCGAGATGTCACAACAGCATAAGAGGCAGAACCAATTACAAGAAAGAAAAAAAGACGAAAACAAAGAGAAGAAACATAAAAAGAGTTTCAACCACTCCTAAACAGATTACCAAGACATAAAGAAAAGAGAAACATGTGCAGGAACCCATTGCTGAGGTAAAGCTATTCAATGTACAAACACTGAACAAATATTTTCGGCTTTACCTCCTCTACTGCTTCTTGCTATTGAATGTGACAAAACTTAATTGACATTTTCTTTTAACAAACCACATATACTATTTTCTTATCCAAAATGTAAGCATCGCATAATCGGCAAGGAAGATCATAGGTTTTAAAAAGAAGGCTTTTAGCCAGAAAGGTGTATCATTAAGACATATGGTAAGCAAACATACAGGAAACTAGGAAACTTGGCAACATGGAGATAAGAAGCATGTCAATTGCTCAGGAATTGCTAAAGACAGATTTTTGGATAGTGAAGGGTCTATTTAATTATTTGTTATCTACTGTCACCTAAAGTTTGGAACATTTTGGCCAATATTCTTCAGCAGAAGCGAACACAGCTCCTACAACAATTGTTCAGAATTTACTCTCTCAGGTATCTTACTATAATTTGCCTCCATTGCTTGTTTACATGACCCTTATAGAGTTATAGTCAACCAATCTTCAGAGAATTTGCAAAGACGCTGTTAGGCCTCTGGAAGTCTCGCACTTCAAAAGAAATGTACCAACAAGTGTACAACAATCCACATGCATCTATATTTAGTAAAGGAAATTGTTACACCCAATCCACCTAAGACCAAAATATGTGAAAGTAGTTGCTTGAGTGGATTTTTCTCTGCATTCTATGGCTTCACTTCTAAGACCGGGAAAATATCATTTGTTCGTTCCACATTATAAAAAACAGTAAGAAGTAGATTATGTACTAGCTCTAACCTGTTCATATGAAGCAGACTTGCATCCTGGGTCTACTATGAGTGCTTCCCCATGAGCGATAAAACCATCATCACACTCACTAGCATTACCTTCAGGCAGGAAAACGATTAAGTTTGTGGTACGAAAAGGCTTAGCTGTTCTACTTTCCATTGGTATAATTTTAACACCAAGAGGATACTCCTGCAACATGAGAAAAACATCAGCTCCTACTGGTCAGTATTTTGTCCTTAAGATAGTAAAAAGAATCAAAGATACAAAATTTTCACATCTACATGTTCAAAACAGTTTGATATTCGTTGCTTATCAGACTGAGGACTCTTTCTGGAGTTGACATCTTATATATAGATTAAATTTCAACTGCTTGTGCAACTAAGAGAAACTTCAGAGTAAAGATCTCAAATGAAGTTTAGTGATTACACTTCAACAAGTCTCAACAGCCACCAAAGTTGTGCAGAATGAACAATTTCTGGCTGACTTAATCAGCTTTCGAAAACAAAGAACAATGAGAATGAATGACCATATCAGGGAGTTTCTGATAGAGTGTCCCTTAAGTTCTTTCTTGACTTCACGTTTTCAGAAAAATTCTAGTTAGGTCCCGTCCCATGAAACATCAGCGTCAAATTGGTATTTATGCTTTTCATGATACTTCTAGTCCCTCTAATTATGTGGAATACCATTAGTTGTCCATGTATTATTCATTTCTCATTTCTTAATGAAAAAACTTTGACAGGTCAGCAAGCACAAGACATAATAACAAACCTGACATTTCAAGGTGGGAGGAATTTTCCATGTCCCAGATTTTGTTGAATCATTCAGAAGACCAACAACCACCATTGATCCTACACGGTCACTGCAAGGCTTCACTTCAGCAAGCATACTAATGCATCCTTCAGTGGTCATCCACTTGCAGAACTCAACATCTGTTCAATGTTAGTTACCATGTTACAATCTCGACAATCATCCCTAGAGGAAAAAGGAGAGCAGGGGAGGTATAAAAAAGATGGTAATTTCGTCATTCATAACCATTAGAAATTATGGATGCTATTTCATTTGGGAAAATACAAAAGAAAAAAAGCAGGTTTATCATTATGAAATTCTATGTAGAAGGACAGTTGTCATTTCTCAGTCACCGAGGAGATACACAATAGACAATAAGAGGTAATGAAGCAGTAAAAACATGTATGATGGTTTCTAACCCCTAGAGTCTTATATACTGAATCCATTAAATTTGACTTGCACATTTGGGATACGATAGAGAGTGAAATTCCAACCAAACTGAGTTTTGACACCACATGCTTTCTCCTTTCGAAAAGTTAAAGCAAATGTGGATAGCAGATAAAGATTGCGGTCATTAATTGATTTCACAAATACTTTATTCAGATTCAGTTAGGAAATCAGTCTAATCAGACCATCTCTCGAAAACGAATCTGTTATATTTGTAGAAGAATAACCATGCTTCTCCAACAATAGATCACACTTCTGAAAATTAGTAACCTGCATTATATGTGAAAATATGCTTTGGTAGTATACCTCGTTAGATTATTAACAACAAACGACCAATTAAGCCACACCATCTCAGTTTTATAGCCTTACTTTGGTTAGGCATAGAGATGAAGATTAGAGTTGACATGACATAGCCTTTCTGAAATATTTATCGCACCTAAAGCAGATCTAAGATTACTTCTTGACAAGTTTGCAATTCGATAAAGATAATTGATAAAAGGAGGGCTGCTTTTAATTTTCATAGCAGTACAATATTCTAAAAGTAGTGAAGAGTGACATAAGGTTTCTGCTTAAGAAAAGGGGACACTTTTGGGAAAGACCAAGTATAAAACAGGTCAAGAATGTTGGTAATAATTTGTTCTAATTCAGTTGGAAATTACAACTAACGAAGTTCCAACGACATATGTTGCTCTTACAACTGGACTAAGAGCAAGCTCACATTGGAAGGCAATTGATCCTCCTTTCCAAGACTACAACGTAAGACCTGGTTAAATCACAACAGCAGTATTCATACTGATACTTGAAAAAAAGATAAGTCAAATGTGAACTGAGTGAAGTTGGTCGAACCCTTTAATTTTCCATTTTTAGGACCCAAAGTTCCAATGATGTAGACCGTCTTTACTGGCAATCCTGGTCCAAATTCAGGCTCCTGTACATACTTCATGAATTTCCACTCAACTGGGATATCATCTAATTCCACTTGCTCTAGAACCTACAATAATCATCACCTACAAGCTTTAACAACTCCATATTGCAAAACATGCATATGCATAGACTGCAGCATATGTAGACGAGCCTCTTTTAAACAGTTCTGATAGGCATAAGAAATAGTATCATACCTTTTATGAAGTCTACTTGCGATCTTACAACAATTACAACAATGATGATCATGATAACAATAATTATGATAGGCATAAGAATAATGAAGGTAATGATAGTTCAGTAAGCCCCAACAGAGAGTACATATACTCATTGCGTCAAATTAAACTTCAAATTTCATAACTAATCATTTAAAAATGACAAATCCACCAAGATTATCCAGATATTGAAAGGATAAAATCTGCAACAGCAGTAAGCTGAAAGCAATTCAGTATTCATTTCACCAAGAAATTCTACATTCTTTCAGTAAAAGAAGGACCTTTATACTATGAAAATTTCCGGCAAATGTATAAGTAGAGGTAGTATCCTTAATAATCAATTCTTAGAAACTTTGACTTGTAACATTTTTTCCGGAAAAAAAAGAAGGTTTCTTTACACAAATAGTTGACAGGATTTACTGTTCAATAGATTATGCAGAGGTGATTACACCTACTAAATATCAATTATACATCTGTCAGCTATTTTTAGTTCAAGTGGTTGGTGAGCAACTATTCAGGATGATTCTTAACAAAATACAGCAAACTGTTCGAATTCACGTCCAAAGTAAAAAAACTTGACCCTATGCTTAAAAGTCCATAATTTTAGATAAAAGGAGTAAACTAAGTAAGGAAAGTACATTTCTTGCCTATCCCAATAACCAAGAAATACAGATACAACCAGCTGCAGAGCCGGAATTTCACTAAGGGGTTCAAAATATGAAAAACTAAACACACGAAGAAATCAAAGGAGGTTCCATACATAAACCATATATAAACAATTGTAATTTTTCGCCAAAGGGAATTCAGATGAACCCCTCGATCCTACCTAACTCCGCCCCAGGTACAACAACAACAATTATGACTCTATCTCAAACAAGTTAGGATTTTATTTAAATAAATGAATAAGGGAAGGGGAAATGGACGAGGGGATTACAAGGTGTGAAATCGAACATAACCAATAAAGTAAAAGTTCACGTAGCTAACCAGAGTTACTAAAATTTCGTGGGTACCTTATGAATCGCTGAATTAAGATCAAATTTACTTAAATCAACCTCATCTGAGCAAGATTCAGGGACTTGTATGGAAAATTGATTATCTGAAGGAGAATCAAGAGGTAACAATGGTGAAGAAGGCAAATCCCATAAAGGGGAATCGGAAAAAGAATCATATTCAGGATCGTTGAATTTAGCAGGTGGGTTTTGTTTAACAAGTAGAAATTCATCTTCATTTGATGGATTCTTGATGATTAACGAAAGATTATACAGAGTCGCCATTGAAGTAAACTCACTGTAAGTTGAAATTTTGTGTAGTTTTTTAATAATAGTGGGTGGTTGTTTAAAGATTTTAAAGCTGTAATGTTAGTTGAAATTTATTGAGAAAAAATGTACTCCCTCCGTCCCTATTTACTTGTCCATATTTCCTTTTTTGGTTGTCCCTATTTAATTGTCCATTTTGACAAATCAAGAAAGGACAACAAATTTTTTCCTATTATACCCTTATTTACACTTCTTGAAAATTGTAAAAGTGTATGTTGTTTCCCTCCAATTTATTTCACTTGAATTCAAATAAATTGTTGTAATTTTGAAGTGAAAAGTTGTCATAAGGGTAAAATTGTAACTTCACTATGCTAATCATTGTTGCCTTAATCTGTGTGTCATTTCTAAAGTGGACAACTAAAAAGGGACGGAGGGAGTACAAAATAGTACACAATCTTTGTGTTTGAATTCAAAATCATCCATATAATCTCCGGGATTTCTTAACAAAGATATATTTGACGATCCACAAGCTGCTAGCTCACGAGAAGAGATTTGTCCAAGTTTATATAAGGAGACTAATTTCCAATCTCTCCATCGAGGTGGGATTTCTTACCAAAGATACATTCAATGATCCAAAAGCTGCTAGCTCACGACGGGAGATTTGTTCAAGTCCATGGAGACTAATTTTTGATATCTCAACAAAGTGGAACTTTTTAACACTCCCACATCTTTACCTTGTATTTGAGTTTGGTTCATCCCAATTTATTATTGGATTCATTGATGTTGGGCCTTCATTTATAATTGTTCACGCTTCAGTTGAGGTTTGGGCTTGTGGAAAGTGTTAAGAAGTCTCACATCGATAGAGGAATAAAAAATTGATCTCCTTATGAACGGGACAAATCTCCCCTCATGAGCTAGCAGCTTTTGGTTCAAGTAAGACGTAGGTGTCATATCTTTATAGTATTGAATCCCAACTAATCCAAATTCGGATAATATAAGTAGAGTGGATGGACCTCAAAGTTATGTATGGGCCTTCAAAGCCCAGTAGCCTTTAGTAGTTCTTAATAAGGCCTAATAGCTCTTTGGTCCTTGTGGTGTTTGGATGTGTAGAGATTAAACCCAGCCCAAATACATTAGGCCCAAAGTTACCAAAAAATTTGAAAGATATATTTACCCAAGTGAAATTCCAATAAATCCCAATTTTTTGGTAGAAAAGAAAAAGAATCTTTTGTAAGATAAGAAAGGTTTGGTCAGAATTGAATTACATTTCAAGATTGAAAAGTTACAAATAGTTGCAAAAAATCTTGCAAACAATATACCCCCAAGTCCTGTGGGATATTTTGCAAGATTATCACAGACCAATTTTATACCAAATGAATGTCTTCTCTTCGTGAAAAGGTCATGGTGGAATGGATAAGACTTTTTCATTTTTGATCAGAGGTTTTTTATTTGAATCATGAAATGGAAAAAACTTGAGAGAGAGTGTATTTGCCCTTTAATGTGCCTTACGCAACACGAATCCAAATTAATTAAGATTCAAATACAGATACCAAACACTAATTGAAAACAAACAAAAAATGAATACCTCTCACTCTCACTTTCTCTAGTGAAGAAAGAAATAAAAACATTTTAAAAGTTAAGACTAAAAACTAGATACAATAGCCTTCTTTCTCTTTTTGACTAACCATCCGGTGTTTGGAATTCCTAACCTGACTAATTCGAAATTGTATTGTAAAAAAACATATTATAAGTAGTTTAATAAGGTTCTTCACACTAAATTAAAGATTTTGAATTTAAGCCCTAAACTAAATATATATACATATATACACTCAAAGTCCACTACAAGAACTAGAAAAGACTCTTCAATGGAAAGTTTATATTTTTCTATAGATGTCTCTCTTATATTGGTCTACATTGTCCCAATAACTATGTTCCCTTAGTGGTGTGAAAAAGGTTATCTATATGTACACTCTAACTTTCACCTTCTTTTGCTTGGACAATACTAGAAAATATTTTTGACTCTATGATTTATATGGATAGAAGAAGATAAAAGATTATACACTTATATTGGTCTTCATGATAATCCATTAAAAAAAAAGTATAGTGGTTCATGTTTGGATCAAATGAAGACAAAAAAATTGATCATTTGAAGTTGAAAGTTTGAGATAAAGGATGATTTTGCTTTTGAAATAGCAATATTTTGATTGTAAAATAATAGTCTTTTAGATAAACTTGTATTTGAGTATAGGTCAAACCTTATATTATACTTGTACTTATCAATAAATTAATTGTGGCGGGATAAATGAAATTCTTTTTCCTTAACCAACCCTAATCAATAGCAAAGCCCGACATTCATAAAAGAAAATTTAAAACATTTACGATAGAATAAACAACTTTTTCTTATATTAGAGGAATTCAACAATTTATATATAATCAGATTTTTTTTTTTTTTTGTTTTATCCTATTTGCAAGGATTTAATTTGAATCTTATTAATTTCATCGTGTTAGCTCTGTTCCTAATCATGATAATAGAGAAGTTTCTAACAGAGAAAGCAGTTTTTATCTTTAATATATCCTACACGACATAAATTCAAATTAATCTAATTTAAAAATATTGAAATTAGATATTGTTATATACACTACCTAAATTAAATAAAGCTTCATTGTCACTAATGCCTTTTTAGACTTCTACTTCGTTTTTGTTTGACATTTATCATAAGACCCCATGTACCATGAATAGAAGGCCATTTAACAAATAATTATAATAAAAAGACTACTTTTGGAAGCGTTATCATTATAAATACGTTTTAATGCGATTTTAAATTGTGTCAAATTTATTATAAATATTAAATATCGAGTGAAAAAAAAAATTTATATATATATAGAAACCCTTTGACTCTTAAAAGATATAAACAACTACAAGCTAGGTGTGGATACAATTTTCAAATGAAATAATATAATTGCACAAATTAGTTGGTGGAGAGACAAACTTACTTATTATATTTAGGGATAAGGGTCTGAAAAATACCCCAACTTTGGTCGGATTTGCTGTTGCGATACTATACTTTCATAAGGACCTATTACCTCCCAAGACTATTTAATACCGTATTTTTTACCCCTGAACTATTTAATAGTGTATTTTAAAGGTATATATGTGTCCACGTGGATACATAACTATTTATAATTTTGCATTATTTTTTATGTCCACGTGGGCAAATATATATGTTTAAAATACAATATTAAATAGTCTAGGGAGGTAATAGGTCATCATGAAAGTTTAGTATCGCAACAGCAAATCTGACCAAAGTTGGGGTATTTTTCAAACCCTTATCCCTTATATTTATTTTATTTAAATAAAAGAGATTATCATTAAAAGGTTTCAAGATTCCTATTTTCAACTAATAAATAATTTGACAAGAAAGCATGCTTTGTATCACTACTTTATTAATTTGTATTTGAACATTGAATTGTCCTCTTACTAATTGTCTAGATGCACCTAGCTAGATTTGACAATTTGAATTTGTTTGTATTCAATTTATTTATATCTCTATTTTCTTTTTATTTATTTATTTTTAAAAAATAACACCTCTTTTTACAAATTATCTTCTACAAATGATCATTTCTAAATAATTCTTATGAACTCATACATATAAATTGTAAAATATATATCATCTTTCTATTATCTTCTACGGAGTATTTTAATATCAACTATATATAAATAAATAAATAAACAAATAAAGGAATAAGTTATGATTTCATCGCTAATCTATCACTTATATAAACATATAACCCATAGTTAACATGATTTTTGATAGGTAATTGCTAATTTGTCGTTGAATAGAATAAACGGTAAATTCTTTTTGTTCAACAACAAAATTAAAAGTTATCCGTCGCTATTTCTTTTAATATAGTAAACAAATTAAATGAGATGGAAAATGGATAACATAAAAGTAGGAAAAGGGTAATAGTGGTTTTATGAGATGTTAGTGGCCACAATATATATGAATTTTAATTATATTGTGGGAGAGAAAATCATTTAGCTTACTTTTTTTTTTTTACATATTTAATAATTTAAAGAAGTGGGGTACATATAACTTAATTAGGCCAATGGCTAAGTCATTTGACACCACTCAACTATAAAGTGACTTTGTATAAATGGTACAATTATATATTTAAATTAATAATTTGATTAGGATAAAAAAAATGTGAGATTAAGGAATTTAAATGCAAATTGAAGGATTAATTATATATTAAACCTTATTCCTTATATAAACAATTTCAGTGTAGACGTGGATAACAATTGCATTGAAGTGGTGGAAGCAAATATTAGTTTTTTTTCCAATAAAAATATATATTATAAAAGGATTCTAAGATTCGAATTTATTAGAAATTAGAAAAGAGAGCATGTTTTATACCTTATTTCTATTTAAAAGTTTAATTGTATATCATGTTTAGGATTTGAGCTTAGAAGTTCATGAACATGAATTAGTACTTAAGTTCTTTGAATTCATATTTTATATTGTATATGTTAACCTATGCTAAAAAGTCAAATATTTTCCTATATGACCTAAATTATGACATATTTATATTCTCTTCTCATATTAATAATTATTTCCTAGATTCATTATGTGGTGTAAAATTCATCATTTTGAAGAGATAAAATAAAGAGCAACTTTCACATATAGCAAACATAAAAATCATATTTGTATGTTATAACTATAGTTTACATAATTGCGCTCCATAGCAAACATAAAGATGTATATTTCGCTACATATATACAAAAGAAAACAATTGTATAATCTGTTTCGGTATACATATACAAAAGATCAATTGTATAATCTGTGTTTGTATAAAGCGAGAAAGAGAGAAAGACAAAAGAAAACTAAACAAGGAAAGATCATATTTGTATAATCATAAGTGTATAGGACGAAAATATATGCATTTGTATTTGTATATACAATTTTCTCTCGCTTTATACAAACACAAATGCAATGTATACATTTGTGTTTGTATAAAGTGAGAGAGGCGAGTGAGAGTGGCGAGCGAGATCTGGAAGAGGGGAACGAAAATATATGTATATATATATATATATATATATTCTCTCGCTTTATACAAACACAAACACA